GATCATTTAAGTTCGAAAGCCTCCATATTAATTACTTTTTACTTCATGTTACCTTTCTTTTGTATCGGTACTTGTGATATTTGTCTCCAGTTGAAACAAATATTACTAGGTAGCTAATCCAAAGACTTGGGAGTAGCACTGGCAACGCAGTATTATGGAACAAAGACATGCTTCAAAAATAATCAAAAAAAGTTATTGTAAATGTAAAAGGAATCTTAGTTTAATGGAATTAGTATAGCTATAAATAGTAATCATATTGCAGAGGAATCAAAGGACTATAAGATTTGATATTGTAGATTTCTAGTATTTTTAAAATGTTTGCCCACGTAGATGGTGACACACTGCTATATGAAATATCTGTTATGTATAATTTACTTATGTGTTTACTACAACAGACCTGGGCTTCTTAGAAAGCCTATTATCCTGATTGGGTTTTTAAAAGAACTGTTCCCGATATTTATGGCATTGTCCAACAATTACGCTGCATTTGCAGACAATATTCCACCGTTTCTTCTGCAGTTTCGCAGAATCTGCATATTGCTCTGCCACTTTGCCCATTTTCTAGATATTCCCCAATTCGATGGGGTAGCCTAGATGTTTTATGGTTGAAATATCGGCCAGGATCAGGAAAACAAAAAGTTTAAGGCATTAGTTTAAAATCTCTGTCATCTGCTTTGGATGATAGATAATGGACTCCACTGTGTGTATATAAACGACACACAGAAACCGCAAATTTATTTGAAATGCCTCTATTTATCATATATTATAGCATACAGCCGTTAAGTGCGAAATTTACTTTAGAATCCTTTCTCTCTCCTAGTCTGTCTGTGATAAGGCATTACCTGATGATACAGTCTTAATAAAGATAAAACACGTGTATATATATATATATATATATATATATATATATATATATATATATATATATATATATATATATTTCCGTCTCTGATAAAATATTGTTTTATAAATGCCAACCCTGGAAAAGATATACAATGAAAGTTACGGAAATGTAGGAGAACGAAGAGCTAAGAAATTACAATAAATTTTAATGAATGAGCTGATAAAAAACCAGCGTAGGTATTGAATATGCGTAATATGTTCCGGACTACAGAGAAATAATGTTACTTCCTTTGACTATCTTAATATATAACGTGCGAACTTTTGTAATTAGTTGAATATATTTATACTTCTTGATAATATGATTTTTAATGAGTACATAATAACATCGAAGGATGAATCTTTCATTCGCAGAATCGTAATCGTTCGCATACAGCACCTCTTGTAGTCTTTGTGTATAAAAAATGTCTAGACTCATTCTGAGATTCTTAAAATATAATAAACAGCATCTTTGTCTTCCACTCGTTTGCCATTCATTCAAAACACGATGCCTAAATTAACACTTCATGTTAGTTTCGTCGTTTAGTCACATCAAGTATTCAAATGATATACTTATAGATTTGTCCCGTGTGTATTTGTTAGAATATGTGTGTTGGATACCAATTTAATTATGCAAATGTTGTGACTAACTAGATATTTTAAATAAATTTTAAATAAATCAGTCAATTGTATAGTAAGTATTATATTTAATAGATTCTTTGTTTCATTTTCTTCATCTTTCGACGGCTTTAATCCAAATTAATCTTAACATGATTATTTAAACAATAAAATAGGATGATGTGAGACTGATCAACAAGAATAGGAATTTCATATCCTTGATTTTAAAACTTTTTCCCCAATGTAATATTTCAAAAGTAATATTCAAGTAGTAGCTGAACCAAAACTAATATTTCTATACTTATTTTAAAATTATAAATTTTAAAATGTTGTGATGAATGACCAATGTGACAATTCTATTACAAATATTTTCTATATGAACAATTGCTCACAACTCGTACATAATATGCACTTGCAAGTCCGCATCAAATTGTTCAAAATAAACATGGTTCCACCCTTATGGAGCTCACTCGGATCTTTAATAATTGGAGTAGGTGCATGCAGAAGGTACCTTCGGCGGTGTAGAGTTTACGAACAACTTGTTACACAATACGGCCTTTAGACGCTTTCGCGATTTAGAACACTTAACCGGATATCCTGTATTTTTAGTAGCTCCCCAACTTGTGGAATATTATCTCCGACTTCCTTTCTTAACCCCCTGAAAAAGATAAAGATTTTTATAACACCTGAGTGGAGAGAATACTACCTCTTTATGCAAGCCAAAGCGACGAGAAAAATACTTCATTCTTAAAAAAGTTTGTAGAATGAATTGTATTGTTTGTTAGGTATTTATATTATTAAAAGGCTGCATTTGCGCATACTTCCGACTGCTTTCTTATTCCTTTTATTAGTGATGTGTTCATTTTTTAAAGGGGAAGGATGTGTTCATTGTTATTTCTTACATATCTGTTTAAATGTTTTGACTAATCTTTTGATAGTTGATATTTGGTTAGAAATATCTACTATTTACTAACTTACTCCGTTGGTTTTATCCGACTAGACAACATGTCTCCTTTCTGCTCTGTGTGTCTTAACCTTCACTATTCTTGCGTCAGAATGTCTTCTGAGGTGTCCTGCCCAGTCGAGTATTTTGCTCTTTATTTCTTTTAATATTATGACGCCTAGATATAGTTATTGGAGCTTTTTGTTAGTTCTTATCCAATATTGTCCAGCTGCTTCATCAAGCACAGGCCCAAAGATCTTCCTTAGGATTTTTCTCTCATACGGTACATCATTACGGGACGTATGACCTTAATATAGTTATATCTTTGTATGTATCGTTAGCTGTTTCGATTTTATAGAGTTTTGAAGGGCATAAAGACATTTGTTGCCTGCTTGTGTCCTATTATTTATTTCTTGTGATCCGTTATTGTCTTCAGTTACTGTTATTCCAAGGTACGTACATTCTCTGACTCGCTCAAAGTTAAAGTCATCGATCGATATGTTCTGTTCGATTTTACCTCTTTATACTTAGTTTCGTTTTCATTAATAAGGAGCTCCATCTTCTCTGGTGAATTTATCCTTAATGTGGTGTTTACTATTAGGTCAATATCGTCTGCAAATGCCAACAATAAGTTTGGCCCTTCTCGATGGAATACTGTAGTCGATTTTTCGATTCGTGCACTTCTGATTATGTGTTCAAGAACTAAAGAAGAGAACTTTTGAATAGTTGTGGTGAAAGTGCATCTCCCTGTTTTAGTCCATTGATACTTTCTAATAAAATCTCTACTATTCTGTACATAATTCCGCCTTTGCTCTGTTTGTACTTATTTTTTAATTTTTAGCACCTCGATGAGTTTTGTTATTATACAAAGAAAATTATTTTGTCGATAAATTAAGACCCATAACTCTACACCATATAACTATCGTCTTTTATAATCTATTTTTAAATTTTGGACTCTGTAAACAAGCTTTTTAAAAAATATCTAATGAGAATATTGACATGCTATCAAAAATAGACATTTAACAATAATATTGATGTTAACATTTATAAATACATATCCAATCAAAAAATCAGACGACAGACATTTATCTGGAAACTCAGGATGGTTTTTTATCTAGAAACTTACATAAATCAATTGATAATAATGTAGTTGATATAAATCTAAAAATGTGAAACAGTAGTTCATGTTAAAGATGAAACAATGAAGTAAATTTTATTTTTTGAAAACACCTCGTATGCAAACGGAGTAGTTATTGTCCTCATTTCAATATAAAGTACTAAATAAACTTAGTTCATTTAAAAATGAAATCAAAGCATTTAAAAGAATTAGTTTTTATTAGTTTCACATCTTTTGTCATCACCAGCATAAAATCAGAAAGCGAATTAAAAAATAAAGGTGTTCTTATAGTGGTGATACAGCTTCACCGGATACAGCTGCCTGTTGCCGGATGCTTAAAGAATACACCTGCATTATGTTTCTCAGACGTCTATCTCTACCCGTTCAAATTTACTTTCCAATTTCGTCTGCTCCAGCCTACCTGTATCTTTTCCTACTTGGATATTTATTAAAACAAAACTATGGGAAATTAAAACAACTCCGTCTCGGTTCAGTTTCTTATTATGAGCTATTAAGAAAATTAAAAATCTACCAACCTGAATTCAGCCCGTGCAATTTACGCGGTCAGTTGTTAGACGCTGTTATTTTTTATTTTGTTTTAAATTCGATAGTTAACCCTCCCAAAGCCGCTTTGATTTTTAAACTAAGAAATAATTGGGAATAATTTGAAAGGTTAACTTTCGGCACTTGCTTTTAATTCATTTATAATACATTGCAGCAATATGTATTTACACTTTATTTGGTATTGACAGAGACTTATAAACTTCAAATCGAAAGTGGACAAAATATTTGTATAAACATTAACATTGCAATTCGACCAAAACTTTCATTATTTGCCATCTTAACTGTGTAAAAAATCCGAATACAATAGAAACGGATCTCTATATTTATTTTTATTGCCAGACATAAGCATGCCTTCGATTCATATGGTTAGTTTTATTTTTTCGTAAGCCATTTGTTAGTATAACTCGTCGGACTGCAGCTACGTAGCCGAGACCGAAGGCGTTACGTTACCTCCGAAGCATGGTGGCAGCTCAGTTAAATTAAAAATTGAAAAATTATTGGTGTCTGCCAAAATAATTTCAAATAACGAATAATAGTTCCCTTTGATGATTTTAATGCTCTAATCCTGTCAGTTATATGCCAAATAAGAATAAAACCCTTTATTATTCTTCATATGTTTGTTATGTATTTGTACGTCATTTCTCAGAAATCCTGGTCATTTTTTTAAAAGAAATAGTTTATCTGGGGACTTCATTATTGCAGTCAAAACACCTAAAAAAAACAATATAATATACCGTACGCCTATGAATAGATACACCTAAGAAATGGCTACTTCATAGTGGTTTATTACTCTCTCTCAATATTAAATAAAGTTTAATTTATAACTACTTTACAACTTCAGAACCTTAAACTTCAATTAAGACGATGTTTTTGTTACAGTGCTAATAAGCAGATTGACACGACAACGATATCTAGACGTTAGTGATGAATGGACAGAAGATGTGCACATGTCAAAATTTTCCACTCTGAAGTTCGAATACAGGGTAACCTGCGATTCGCACTACTATGGAAAAGGTTGTGAAAATCTGTGTCGACCAAGAGATGACAACTTCGGCCACTACAGCTGTTCTCCTATTGGAGAGCGAGTCTGTTTAGCAGGATGGACAGGAGATTATTGTACTAAAGGTAAGTTTGTAATTTATTTTATGACTGGTATAAATTTCGTCATTTTAATATTTAAAATTAAAAATATTCACAAACAGAAATCAGAAAAACGATTTGGAAATTAAAGTTAAAGATATTGGTTTAAAAAACAGATCATTCTACACTTTTGTGGCGAAGTAAGAAAATCTTATATGCATCAATTGCAGTAGCATCAAGAAAAACTTTATTTAATATTATATAACCTATAATCCGGGCAAACAAAAACAATTTTCGTAATTCAATGTAATACCACAGTTGAATGAACATGGGTTTTACAGAGTGATTCGGTTCAATATTTCAACATATTCTTATGCTGTGATAATGAGGCTAGCAGGTCCATGGCAGTTTCCTTCTGTCTTGCGATCTATTTGGGGGTTCATAGATTTATTTTATGGACATAAATTTCCTTCTATTATGTTTTGTTTTTTTACCCCAGACAAAATGAGTGATAGTAATTTATGTTTCTAGTACAGTATGGCTATTAATTTAGAGTACTGAAAATGTCAATATTTTCCACTTAGCGTAACAAATAATAAGATATTAATACTTATGTAAGCTTTACGAATTGTAAACAGTTCCTGCACAAAGGTTCTTGTAACTTGTACTGTTTGACACGTTGCTTAATCTTGCTGAAAATCTAGTTACCGAAATATAAATTTCTTGATCTGAAAGATCTTCGAAAATCATTTACAAATGGTGTAAAAATTTGAGTAATGTAGTATTCTTGATTAACAGTTGCTTAAACCTGTTATCATCAATGAAGTAAGACCCAATAACTCCTCGTCCAAAAGCTGCTTAAATTTATTTATTTATCGTATGGCATACAATAAGAAAACACAATTAAAAAAATCAATATAAAAACGTTACATGAAGTATTACAAACGAACATCTAATGTATTATTAATATAATGTAAAACATTTTCGGTCGCATTCAGGAACTCATCGAAAACTCCACGGAATCGCCTTCGGGGACATTCTTCAACAATGTGACGGACGGTCTGTCGTTGCGCACAACAGTCACACTCAGGAGTAAGGGCTTTTCCCCATCTATATAAGCTGTCAGCACATCTACCGCTGCTTGTTCTTATTCTGTTTAGCGTTGTCCATGTATTGCGGGTCAGTTCAAAGCCTGGCGGTTTCTGATCGATACAGGCCATTTGATGTGCTTCCTGTGGTGAGTCGCTCTCCCATTGTGTTCTCCAAGCTTTGGTCAGGTTGAAATGTTCCTGATGTAAGGAGATGGCTCTTAGCAAGGGAGGATATCTGGAGCGCAGTCTGTTTATTTCGATATCAAACTTATCTTGGTGTATAGGTAGTTGATGGTTAGCCTCAATTTTTCGATATTCTCTGAGAAGAAAATGACTTCTTCGCAGTTTCGGCGGTGGAATGTGACTCAGAATGGGAAACCAATAGTTCGGTGTGGGTCTAATTGTACCTGAGATCATTCGCATTGTCTGGTTTAATTGAGTGTCAATAATCTTTGTGTGTTTGCTATTGAGCCATACCGGGGAAGCATATTCAGCCACCGAGTATACAAGTCCGAGAGCGGATGATCTGAGTAAGGAGGCTGAAGACTCCCATGTAGTGCCACATAGCTTTTGGACTATATTATTTCTCGTTTTCAGCTTTGCTGTCGTTCTTTGAAGATGTTCTTTAAAACTCAATGTTCTGTCCAGAGTCACTCCAAGATATTTTGGTGTTGAGTTATGAGTGAGCAGTCTGTTTTCGAAGTGGATGGAGAGTTTTTTGTTGGCTTGGGCATTATTCAGATGGAAACAGCACACTTCGGTTTTCGTTGCATTAGACGCTTAAAAAAAGGGTTTCACTATGCGATGGTATTTCTTGCACCTTTTTGACTTACATCATTTGTTGACGAGAAAAATTTACATGTTATAACAAATAAAAAACATGAATCACTGTATCATATAATACTCAAGCAGCTGGGATTATCGTACTCCAAACACTGTCAAGTAATGTTTGCATATCTTCTTGAGTAGATGCTAAGAGTACTATGTCGTCCGTATATCTCAAACTATTGATGACTTCACCCTTTCACAATTATTCCTTCTTGTTTTTCAGAAAATGCATTTCTGAAAATTCTTTTGGAGTAAATGTTGAAAAGTGGGGGCGACAAGAGGCATCCCTGCCGTACTCCTCTTTTAATATTAAGAGCCTGTGATTCGAAACCGTCCACTAAAAATGATGTTGTTTGATTCCAATACAATTTGCAATTATGCGAACGTCTTTGCCATCCAAGCTAAAGTCTCTTAGAACTTTGATCAATATAGAGTGCTTAATACGATCAAATGCCTTTAGGAAGTCAATAAAACAACAGTACATGTCTACAGATATATCATGACATCTTTGAGCAAGTACGTTTATACCAAATGCGTTCCAAACCCGTTACGGAAACCAAACTGTGTGTCACTTAGGTGTTCACCATCCTATTGGACTACATTGCTCGTCCTATATATGTGTTTGACTTCGGCATTTAATCTGATTCGGTATTGGTTAGTATTTGGGTCGTGATAAGGTCAAAAGATTTTTCTGAGGATTTTTCTTCATTGTTTTCGTTCAAATGTAGCCAACGGTTTTTCTCCGTTTTTTTGACGATGTTCATGTTTCCGAACAATTTAAGATTGACCTTATAAAAACGTTAGCATTTGACTCTTCTTTTGTAAAGCTTAACGTCAGTGCTTACGTCAAATAACATTTTTTATAAGGTTAAGTAAAGTACTCCTATTCTTTCAGTACTGTACTTGAAAAGCTGTATTGTAGTTCGATGCATGATAATTACCGGAGATCCAGGACGATGAATGTTTTGGTTAAATAATTTATTACAAACATGGACCAATATGATTGGTAATCTGTTGTTTTTATATTTTTTTAATAAAATCACTTATATATCCTTTTTTGCTTATATACAGTCAACAAGTCTAGTTTCTCTAGCAGGTTAAGCACATTTCGTTGTGGAATCTGTCATATCTTCTTTTGTCTCTTTACTATTGGATTACTGAATTCATAAATCGTATAAACAACGTCAATGACATGTATTTTAATTTCGTTAATATTCAATTCACGTTAATATGTCAAATTTTTTTTCTCATATTTAATTTGGTGTCAATATGCAACAAGAAAAACATGTTATACGATAAAGAGACTGGAGTAATGTGATGTAAATATTAGAAATGTAACTTTTTTGTAAACTTTCATCGAATTCTTTAATTCGTTTAAATACCAGCCATGTTACATAAACACGTAATATTAAAAATACAGCAAGTCTACATCGTTTTCGAAATCGTTGCTATTTTAAAAATACGTTTTAGCGAGTGAAGAGTTGGATTTTAAAATAAACATCATCCAGACAAAGAAGCTAAGGCTGTTGTGGACTTGGGGTACACACCCTGTAAAAATATAAATAGAGCTGGGCAAAAAACGCCGAATTTTGTCCACAAAAAAAAAGAAACAGCAATGACCGCGAGAAAACAAGACGTGAGCGCCGCTCGCTCAGCTACTGTCGAGAGCTTCCCACGATCACGGCATACCTGACTTATACAGGGTTCATTTCGTTATTATCTACTCAATAAGAAATAATTATCAGAACTTATTATCTTGCCAGGAATTCCATCACAGACGAAATTCAATGCATTTTAATTGTTGTATTTTTTGTTACAGCACAATGCTTACCTGGATGTGACGAACAACATGGACACTGTACCAAGCCCAACGAATGCAAGTAAGTTATTAGACAAGTATTTTTTAAGACAATTCCTTTAAAATTTAAACGGCAGTGACAGATATTCATATATATTTTACATTTAAAAAATATATCATTTATGTACTTAATAAGTTAATATCTTCAGAATCGTACAGCTAATATATTTATATTTATTAATTTATATGAAGCTAAAGTTAAATCTAGAAAATATCTTGAAAAAATGTGCTGTAATCAATCCTAATCCTATAAATCCACATTATATCGTTGTTATCTTAAATTATGTATTGATTGTGCTTTATTATTTTTGCGTTTCAAATGTTTTTAAAATTAATTGCAAGTATTGATCTGTGGACTCTAAGTAAACCGAAATCTTAATTATAGAAAACAAGACAAGCATCCAAGAAGACAAATAAATTGAAAGAATTAAAATGTTTCGAAATTCAATATCGTTGTCGCCGCGCTGTCTGTAGTAAAGATAAATAATACTAGAATTTTATCGGGTAAGGTGACCTGCTTTTATGAAACATTACGAAGCATAATATTTTTAAATTATTTGATTTTTGAGATCTGATAAAATAGTTAAAAAGTTTCCCTAGGAAAGCCTTTTAAAACCTTATCTTTATGAATGTTATAAAAGTTTTATATTTTAAAATTTTTCTTCAATAGGCTGTTCAATCTTAGCTTTGGTTTTTTGGCATTCTTTCAATACCTTTATTTCTGTTTTTCTTTTTGAACTCGTGTGTTAACTATTTTGCACTTACTTACTAACAATAAAATGTTCTTACATGTCTATATCGAGATGTTTATATCTATAATCTATATCACTCAGATAATTAAAATTGATTGTTTGCTATATTACCTTATTGTTATCAAATATTTTCAGTTTTCTTCTTTTTATTTTTTATAGAATAGAGTTTAAATTAAACTATAACAATATTTTGAGACTGTGTCCTTCTATAATCTCAGTTTTTATCAAATATCTTGTTAGAGATTCATCAGTTATCAAATAGACTATCGATGTGATAGTCTATAATAGACTAATAAATCTCTAATAGACTATTAAATGTTTGATAAAAAAGTCTTTAATAAGGCTTTCGTGTTCTTACTCCATTGGAACCACTTTGTCAGCCGTGAGAGTCTTCTGCTTCGGATACTTCGTCTTCATTTTAATTTCCGTATTACTACATTTAATAATTTATATTCCTCCCATCTCATCACATGTCCCAAGCATTAAAGATTTGTTCTTTTATAGTTGCTAATAATTCTTACTCCTTTCCCATTTCTTTTATTACCTCCATGATATCCTCAAGATCCTTCTAGAATACTGCATTTTAAACGACTATTTATATGTTCTTGTTCAACTATCAAACTTTTCATTCCGTATGACAATGTTGAGAACACAAATTTTAAATAAATGCAATCTGTTTTATATGTTCTTGTTTAAGTGTCAAATGTCAAACATATTTTTCGTTATGACAATCTTGAGAAAATCTAAGCGTTCTAATTTTCAGTTGGTTTGAAATATCTAGAATACAAAGACACTTTCGTATTTATTAATGTTTGTATTTTTGTTTAAGTGTCAAATGTCAAACATATTTTTCGTTTTGACAATCTTCAGAAAATCTAAGCGTTCTTATTTTCAGTTGGTTTGAAATAGAATACAAAGACACTTTAGGATTTTATTAAACTCTATTTTATGAAGTCTCTTAATATTTATAGTTTAGTATTTTTTCCAACTGCACTTTTTTCGGTGATTTTTTAGTATTTAAGTAATTTTTTTTCTTTTTTGCAATTATCATAAATGTACTTAGTTAAGCAGGTAAGAAGTTGTACAATAAAGAAATTAAATTATATATATATATATATATATATATATATATATATATATATATATATATATATATATATATATATATATATATATATATATATATATATATATATATATAATTTATATATATATATATATAAATTATATATATATATATATATATATATATATATATATAATTTATATATAATATAAATACTTTATTATATATATAAATATTGCCAATTACAAAAATTATTAAACTTGAATTAAAATCTGTGAAACAACCGAAATTTAATTAAGTTTGTGCGCAAAAAGCCTGTTTCTTTTACTTACTGATTCAACGAAAGATATAATTTAGAATGAAAAACGGTTTTGTGATCTATTATTAAAATATCCGTAGCGTGGTACGAATACGTTCTCGACCGGTACGTGATTACTTAATCCCCACCCATTCAATCTGTATTCATTAAATTTCAGGCCCTATAATTTTCCAGAAGTTTAGTCGAATTAGGCAGTAATTAGAGTCCCAGCTCAAGGCTCGTCATTAGAAGTTAGTAGTTTTCGGTTTTGTATCATAGTTTGCAACGGAAGGATCTATATGTGCAGTCCGGCTATGCAGATTGGGGCGCCGACCCGTATATAACCTTTCCTTGACCTGCATACTTGCCAACGGGCAGCGTGGGAAAGAGCTCTGTGGGCGTGTTGCATCCCCCCTAGATGTCCCCGCGCGGCCCGGTCTGCGATTCAAGCTGCAACTCAATGAGCTCTTCGATACACTCTCTTTCAAACACATGCTTAGAATAAGAAATGCACATCACATTCAACATACCAACCGATTTGCTGTTGCTGTGCCGCCGATGCGGTGGTACCGTCGATCCACAGTAAGCCGGTACAGTACTGCCGTGCTTAATTCTCATCTAACTAGTTCGCATCGTGCAAATATTTTCATAAATTTAAGATCATTGCTTACAAAAATTATAAATCGCTTCAACCTGACAATGTAGTTAAATATTCAAGAGTAATTCCCGTGGGACAGGTAATTGTCTCATCTCTATTCATATGATTCATTATAATTCTTTTGTCGTTCGTTGTTTCTCATTGAACGTACTTCATTGATTATAATGTGATATTTACCTTATTATACGGAATCTGTCATTGACCGTTTTAAGAACGTTTCCCAGTGTGTCGGTATTTTAATTTACTCTTTTTTTTATTACAGGTGCCAATCAGGATGGGAGGGTCCTTTATGCAATCAATGTCAAAGATATCCCGGATGTATGCATGGTACTTGTGTTAAACCTTGGGATTGTTTATGCAATGAAGGTTGGGGTGGGCTATTTTGCAATCAAGATTTAAATTTTTGCACCAACCACAGACCGTGCCGTAATGGTGGGACATGTTTTAACACAGGACAAGGGAGTTATACCTGTAGTTGTCCCGCGGGATTTAACGGAACAGATTGTGAAATTCCAGCAGACGATTGTTTGAAAAGCCCTTGTAGTAACGGAGGTAAATGTGTACTCAAGGGAGGTTACAATGTGTGCTCTTGTCCACTTGGTTATAGTGGTCTACAATGCGAAACCATCATTAATTATTGCGGCAAACAACCATGCAACAATGGTGGTACCTGCAGCAATACCGAGACTGGATATCAATGTTCCTGTAAACCTGGATTTAGTGGTACCGACTGCGACTATCAAGTTAATAGATGTTTACCAAATCCTTGTAAAAATGACGGTACTTGTATTGAGACTGACGATGGATTTCAATGTATCTGTCCTACTGGATTTTCTGGAGAGTTGTGTAATATCAATATTGACGACTGCAATGGAAATCCATGCCAAAACGGTGGAACCTGTATAGATAAAGTAAATGAGTTTCGCTGCCATTGTGTACCTGGATATGTAGGACCCTTGTGCCAAAACCGCGTAGACTATTGCATAACGAAACCATGTGCCAACGGCGGAACTTGTTTACAACTGATTAATGACTATAAATGTACATGTGCCCCTGGTTTCTCAGGAAAAGACTGTAGTAAAGAAATCGATGAGTGTCTCGACAACCCTTGCCGGAATGGGGGTACGTGTGTGAATAGCGTTCATGGCTTCGAATGCCAATGTCCCATCGGGTTTCTGGGACGCGAATGTGACGAAGTGTCATCTAGCGCTGCTCCAAGTGCTCGAGTTTCATCCGAATCAAACCTTACGACTGAACATGTTGTAGTTATAGCAACCATCTCAACCTTTGTACCATTAGTTGTCTTAGTGGCCGTAGGTGTTATCATCTGTCTGAAACAACGACGAAAACGCGAAAAAGCTCGCGCTGATGAAGAAGCACGGTTACAAAACGAACAAAATACCGCAAACAGTAGTTTCGCTAAACGTGGTGCCGCGATGTCTGCTGATCCCCATATGATAAAAAACTCTTGGGGGAAGTGCACGAACAATGTGATTGGTTCAAACTTTTCCTCGCCAGATGACTGTAGTGTTTCTAATATCAGTATAAATGACTGTGATGGTTTCCCTAAACCTCAACACCAAGTGATTGATGGACGCCCTGTGTACACCCTGCAGAGGACGCGTTCCCAGAAGCAGTTAAATACGGAGACAGGTGCTCGTGCATCAGCTTTACTAGCTGCAAAACTGCATGAACCTGACTACGAGCACATCAAACGTTTGTCTGTGATGTCAAACGCTTCGGCTGTGTGTGGCTCTAGGTAAATATTTCTACTATACATTATACTTCTCTATTTTAGCTTTCTATTTCCAATTTCCTTTTCCCCTCTCTCTCTCTCTCTCTCTCTCTCTCTCTCTCTTATGTTCTTCTGTTCCTTTCTTTGTTTTCCACTTTAACATTTTTTTATTTATTAAACTTTATCTAAATAAGATATTTCTTTGTTACAGTGATCCCTCCATATTGAAGAGGCCGATTGAGAAGGAGTCAAATGGCGTATATGTGATAGAAGAACACTTCCATACTCCAGATGCGATTTCGTCTGGTCTTTTCGCAACGGAGGTGTAGATAATTTAAAAGAATGACTGACGTGTGCATGTTATGTCCATGCTTCCATCAGGCTTGGTCCGTTGTACAGTCTATTTATTATTTTCCAACGTTCTGAGGGAAGCACGGACAACCTAACTTATGATTGTATGAGTACATATATTCGAGCTAGTGCCTCGTGTCCAAGAAGTTTTGCTACTCTCAAGACTCCTCTCTGGATAACGCAAACAATTAATCGGGTCGTTGCCACTAGTGGTAAATTATTTTGTGTTTATATTGTAAATATCCCAATGGATTCTTTGTTTATTTGTATTTATAGAATTTACCAATGGTGGATGTTCCTGGTAAGAAACCAAAGATTTTGACATTGTTCAGGGACAGACTCCTGAGCATAGCAAGACTGAAATTCGTCGAGTAGTATCTGTGTAACTAACATAACATTTTTATTGTTATAGTATATTGTGATGATTCGAAGGAAACTAAGTCACCATTGTACTTAAGTAGGCTTTTCTTAATATTTATAAGCCATTTCAGTATTGCCATCGTTATTAATTTGCAGTCATTTATAAATGATTTTTTTATAGGCCAGTGATACTTTAAAATTAATACCGATCGCAAACCCTCGTCTTAAAATCGTTTTGTAAACAATTTTGAACAAATAAACGATGTTCCTTTATATAAAAACTAAGTCATTTATTTTTGTCAATATTATAGATAGACCCTCGACTTTGTGTCTCTCCATAACATTGATTGACATTTTTTGTTCGCTACTTAAACTCTTGGACCGTTAAAGACTTGATTATGATAAAGACGTTTTGTAATATATAATATGTATATTTATAGTTTGTAACTTGTTCATGTTTCATAATAAATACTTCTTTAGAGAAGCGGCTGTATTGTTCCTCACGTGAATCATGTTATTTAAAAGTTATCTTAATAAAAATTTTTGTTCTATTTTTCTTACTTTATTATTTATTTACCTCCTTCATTAGAAGTACATCCAAAAATACTGCGCTACATACCGGCGCTACGTTGTACAATTTTTTTTAAATAAATTAGATGTCATAGTAAATAACATACACATGATAAAGCACACATATTGAAAGAGTATACAAGATAAAGATAAAGAATTTTAAATTAATAAAAAATTACAAGAACGAGAAGCAGCTAAGAATAGCTTTGACAAAATTATGATGATTGACGTTAAGAAAGGTCTATTAATTAAAAAGTCTTTCAAAATAGATGCTGCTGAGGATATAGTGTGAATTCGTAATGTTGGTAGGAATTTAAAGGTTAAACTCAGGTGTGTATTTATTATTTCTTAAATATTTTGCCATTAAATTAATTAAATCGACAAGTTTTTCATGTGTTTAAAAAAAACTAAAGGAATAGAAAAAATCAACTTTGCTTGATAAACTCTTTGCTAACGACGGTTTCATGTAGGGTTCAGGTATTGGTGACCATATTATTATAAAGAATATAGAAAAATAGATTCTTTTTCCTCTTGATTTTTAAGTAATCTCGTTTTGCTTCTGTCAATGTTTTGAGAAAATTCTCGAGCACACCGAAAAATAAACAATTATTTTTTAAAATCAAAGGTCGGGTAAAAATAATGTTGAAGTAAAATCTATTTGACGATTTCTTGTCCTGTATCATCATTCATGAAAGTTGGCTATAACTGTAGAAAAAGTTTCTATATTTCTGTATTACGTGAAGGTTCATATATGGTATCACTCTCCAACATTCTAAATAATAACTGACGTTTACTGGGTCCTCATTGGTCTTCAATTTTTACTTTCATATAACTAACTAATGCATCATTTAACTAACTAATGCATCATATTATCTTAATACTTATCTTTATATATATATATATATATATATATATATATATATATATATATATATTTGTACGTATAAGCATCTTAATGAAGAATTGATGATAAGAACCACCTTCTCTCAAGGTAAGTACATATTGTTATTGTATAAAGAGCCAAAAAAATGTTTCATAGTAACTTAAAAAACTATTTTTTATAAAAAATAATTTTAATAAACAGAAAAGTACATCATATTCTTATTAGTGCGTAAATTAGAATTTTCTATTTAATGCCAATGATCATCAGAAATTTCTTTGATGGAGACTCACTCATCCTTCGAAAAATAAGGACAATGTTATATAAGAATTTTATCAAACAGAAAGTTCAGGTAAGAAACTGTTGGGTATTTCATGGGTACCGGTCCCAGATGGCATATGTTTCATCTCGTACAAAAGGTCCAGGTGTAACTGAAGGGCATTCGGTTTTCAAATATAGGTAATACCTTTTCTAAAGGACTTTGTGTGAAGACATCTCCGGGTAGAGAACAAAACAAAGGACGTTTTTAAAAAGAAACATCTGAAATTATAATTTTTTTTTCTAAAAATTAACACATATACGTGTCTAAGTATATATATATATATATATATATATATATATATATATATATATATATATATATATATATATATATATATATAAGAAATACGATATTAGTGACTGTCGATATAAACAAATAACACAGTTTATTAGGGTTGCAGTCAGAAAATTGGCCGAGATGTAAAAAAACACTCTTTTAACTTTTTGTCTAGCTTTTGGAATGGTTGTATTCCTTTTTCAAGACACTGTAATAAGAAAGATATGTAAATATTTACAAAATATCATAATTCTTCAGTGCTACTTGCTAGTCGTTGAGATTATTTGTAAAAGCATTGACACTCAACATTGATAACACACATAAGTATAAAATAATGGACAAAATACATTATGTGTTGTTTGTATATATATATATATATATATATATATATATATATATATATGTATATATATATATATATATATACATGTCTTCCTACTGATCGTCTTCATATTGGGGAAACGTCTCTTGCCGTCTTTACTACTCTATTTGTTGTTATTCGGCTTATATGATCGTTCCATTCTACTCTTCTATTTCTGACCCAGTTCTTAATGTTCTCCATGTATGTATTTTATCTTTTTTTGGAAAATTAACATGTCAAATTTTCTGGCGGTTATATTAAATTGGTGCAGCATACGTTATAAATCATCTTCACTTTGAGAGAGTAGTATTGCGTCGTCTACATAGCATATTATTTTAAGTTGTTTTTCTCCCATTTGGTATCCTTTTTTAGTTCTTACTTGTTTATTTAATTACTTAATTTGTCCCGGTTAAATATCTTTGTAAGGTACACGAGACATAGACATGCCGGTTTGTTGTATTCTAACGATTTCTCTTGCACTTACGTCATTATAAATATAGCGTCGATGCATGATCTTCCCGCCCTAAAACCTTGTTGTTCTTCTCCTAGTGTTATCATTTTAATCAATTTATTTGTTATCACTTTAGTTGTTATTTTTAATGTTGTGTTAATAAATTAATTCCTCTATAATTTTTCGGGTCCGATTTGTCTCTATTTTTGAGGAGAGGTATTAGGATGATTAATCTCCATTCTTGAGAAATTTTGTTTTGTTCTATTATTTTTTGAATTAGTTTTAATAGTTGGTTAGTTAGATCTGGTCCTCCATACTTTAGGAATTCGTTCGGTATTTTGTCCTCTCCTGGTGATTTTCTGTTTTTGAATTTCCTTAATGCTTCCTTTACGTCTTTCTCCTCAATATTTATTTCTTCGTTTGTCGTTACCTTTGGTGTTGGTGGTTCATTGTCGTTACCTTTAGCATATAGTGGTCGAAAGTAGTCTACCCCTGTTTCCTTCTGAATGTGTTTCGTTTTTATTAGTTCGTTCATCTCTTTTCTTTGTCCTCTGACCATTCTCTATATTTCTTTTTGTGTTCCGTAGAAGTCGTGTTCCATCTCTTTTGAGAAACTCTGCCAGTAGTCCTTTTTTATTTGTCCAACTAAGGTATTCGTTTCATTTCTGATTCGTTTATAGTGGTTGTATGCCTGGTGTGTTTGTTGTGTTCTGTATTGTAAAAAAGCTTTCTTCTTTTATTTGCATTTTGTCTTCACTTCCTCTTTAAACCATGGTGTTTTCTTTTTTGATACGTTAATGTTCGTTACTTTCCTCTCTCCAAGTGATTCTGTTGCTGCGTTAATTATGATTGAGAATCTATAACACTTTAATTCGGCCAATAGCATGTTATGGCAGCGAAGCATGGGTCCTGAAAGAAACATCCAAAAACAAACTCGACACATTCGAAAGAAAAGTACTGAGGAGAATACTAGGACCTGTGAGGGAAAACGGAATCTTCAGAATTCGATATAACAACGAGCTCTATCAACTGTATAAGGAAACACCCCTGTCAGACTTCATTAGAATACAAAGATTGCAATGGGCCGGACATGTGATACGAATGGGAGACTATAGGCTACCAAAACGAGCACTGAACGCCAGAATGCAGTGAAAGAGACCAGTTGGAAAGCCAAGAAAGCGCTAGGAAGACACAGTAAGCAGCGACGCACAAGCACTCTTAGGAGTCCGTGTATGGAGAAGAGCAGCCACAGACAGACAAGGGTGGAGGCAAAAAATAAAGGAGGCCAAGGCTCATTTTGGGCTGTGGTGCCGTAGAAGAAGAAGTTAATTATGATATTTTTGAGTTTTTTTCCAACTTTCCTCGATGTTATCGTTTTCTAATATTTCATTCCCAGCGATCTTCTCTGATATTCTTTTCCTGTATAAGTATTCAGTGAATTCCGTATTTAGTCCTTCGACTTTAATTTTTGTTTGTCTTGGTGCCGTTTTTTTTTGGGTGAAAAGTATTTCAGAATTATTCTTATTTTACATAATACTAGGTTGTGGTCGCTACCTACGTCTGCTGAGTTGAAGCATCTTACGTCGATTATTTTTGATGGATGTATACCTCTGTTGGTTATAACATAATCTATCATAGATCTTTGTCCACGGTTATTATTAAATATATATTTGTGTTGGTCTTTGTGGTAAAAAAATGTGTTGTTTATTCTTAGTTCGTTATTCGTGCAGAAGTTGATCATCACTTCTCCATTATCGTTCTTAACATTCCCGTTATGTTTTTGTTTAATGTCGGATATTACTTGATTGCCTATTCGAGCGTTAAAATCCCCCAATATTATCATCTTTCCTCTGACTTGATCTACTACTTGAATCGGTGTCAACAAAAACGTTCTAAGTCATGAAAACCATTTTTTCGGGAAACTGAAAAAAACTGTATAGAACCGTATTAGTCATCTAAATTAATACCAAAAAATTTGAGAATATTTTGACACTTTTAGATGTAATGTTTTATATTTCTTAGTGCTAAATAATAGGTGTACATTATATGATATATATGTTCAATTGTGGTCGACTTAGAACTTTTTTGTTTACATTCATAAAATGACACAAAAAACCTTCATTTTGTTTTAAAAAATGTATATTTAACCTACTGGATGTCATGTTCATCTTCCCCACTATTGGGACTATCTGTTGTTAGCCTCTCCATTAATTCGTCATAACACTGTCTGACACTATCAGGTATATAAGGTAACAACTTACCAATATCTTGGAGCTTCACTTTTTTAAGTGGTACTTTACCGGATGGATAACAAAGTATTGTGGGAAATTCAATGGATTGATTGTTAACTTGAGAAAGTTGATAGGTTTGTTCCATGGTACAAAGAATAGCAGGTATGATATGGTTCTTTCTCTTTCAGCACTTAAGTTATTTCTTATATCTTATTTATTTCTTAAATCTTAAAACAATAAACAACAAAATCGCTAATTCAAAAAATTGAAATTGTTCAAATTTTTGACACGAATGACAGCAAGCTTGTCATCGACGATTCATATTCGAAATAAACAGTCTTAAAGTATTCTCATCCAGTTCATTCCAAATGTAGTCAGGCCGTTATTCCAGTTCCTGTAGAGCAGTGGT